AGTTTCAGCAGTTGCTTACTAACTTTGACTGAATTTTACAGTGTCTGAGTTGTAACTATTTAAGCAGAAAGCACTTCAAAGAAGTGTTTTGATGAAACTTTGTCCCTAAAATAGCTTTATCAAACTCCTCATGGCCTATTTTTGGAGTCTGAGGTGGCATTTGCTGTCATGTGCTAGGTTAGGCTAACCATAGTTTGGCATGACAACTTTGGTGTTAATTTTTTTGTGTGTGTTAATTAGTCATTTGCTTTAACTTTTGCAGGAAAGGTTAGACAAGCTTAAAGATACCTTTATACGAAACAATCCCAGCTGTTTCTCATTATTTGAGTAAATGTAGAAAGAGTGCTACATAGAAGAGTGCTACTGTTATGTATTTTAGTTATTTTCAGGGGGAGAAGACAAACAAGCATTTGCTGTTGCTAATAATAACATTTCCTAAATGAAACTCATTCATACATTAAAAAAAAATAGTGTGCCAGTGAGGCTGGAGAAATTACTATCAACATGCTTCAATTTGTAGGAATCCTAGCAAGTCTCATGTACGACATACAATACCCAGTGCAGAAAGGGGACCTGGGCTTCTAGACAGTCCTACAATATTCAACTTTTCTGCTGATCGTTTAATCAATGGCGTCAGGAGTCCACAGACATGGCAGCCAGGACAAAACAGGACACGGATGCAGAATGTTACTACAAGTTATACTGATATGCACCCACCCCAAAAATCTTTTGCTAATGTTGCTTCTTTGGTCAACAAGACAGTGATTCACATGTAGAGTAAGGTGGTAAGCTGTGAAAAGAATCAGAGGTCCACTTAACATCCGCTTACTCTCTGGGCTTTACTGAGGTGTTACGTGGAAGATAAGTAGAATGAGGAACTAAGAAGAAATTTTTTTCCTTTTAGGGAGGGATTCACATATAAGAAAAACAGTTACAAGCTGTGTAGGATAGAGACTGTTTGACAAAGAAGTATCTCTGTACTCTGAAGTCATGCATAGTATGGTGTGAAATAGAAGGAGTGTTACTTAACTTACAGCCAAGAATTGTAGCTCGATGTTTTTCAGTCCTTTTAAAAAATTATCAGAACTTGAATATTTGTAGTGGCTGTCTTCTCAAAACCCAGCATTTTCTAAGTTGGCTACAAGGGACTGGACAAATGCTCTATTACTGTTTGAGCCAATCCTTTAAGTACTGCCCTGCATAGCATGACATAAAATGCAGGGTTAGGAAAAAATAGTACTCCGTTTGTTTATAATTATGAGCATGCAATATAATCATTAGGTAACACCATTTCCAAGTACTGGATTTATCAATGGATTCACATCTCCAACCTTCAAGCCTGCTGCTTCTCCATTGACTACACTCAGACAATATCCTCCCAGGAACAGGTAAGTTCAAACATCTTTTAACAATATACATACTATTTTATTACCTGGCATGTGGGGTTTTAATCTGCTTATTTTAGTAACACCAGCTAACGAAAATACTTGTGATATTGAACCTGGTGCAAGGTTACGTGAGGCCAAAGGGCAGATAGTGCTGCTATTAGTGGATGTACTGTTTCTAAATGTAAATGGACTGTCTGAAAGCTGAAAACTTGTCTGTTCAAAGATTTTAGGGTATTCAGATGAAATACTCTGAATGATGACATGTGATCAGCAGAATTATTCATATAGTATTTTCTGTTTCAAGTAGTTTTTAGTAAAGCCAGATTTGAAAATAGACAGTGAGAAGGTTATTCTTGATAATTCACATTACCTGTTAAAATGAATATTTATCATTCTTACAAATGAAATATGCAACAAAGGACTAAAGATCTTACTTCTTCTGAATTCTGTGTATAGACTTAGGCCTCAGAAGATCTCTCATAGTACGTATGTTGAAATGACTTTTGAATTTGTAGGAATCCTAGCAAGTCTCATATACGACATACAATACCCAGTGCAGAAAGGGGACCTGGGCTTCTAGACAGTCCTACAATATTCAACTTTTCTGCTGATCGTTTAATCAATGGCGTCAGGAGTCCACAGACATGGCAGCCAGGACAAAACAGGACACGGATGCAGAATGCTACTACAAGTTATACCAAGAGGGAAGTAGGAACTGGACGGATGGAACAGACCAGTGTTGACTCGTCTCCTGGATTAGGTAGAGGAAGGTGAGTGTACTCTGTAGTTGTCCTCTGAACAACCTGATATTGCTGCTTCTAAACTACTTCTTTTAGTAAAGAGGTATGGTACTAGTACTGTGCTCATTATTTTAAACTGAGACTGTCTTTCCTCAAACCTAAAGTCTTGGAAAGTACTTCAGAGAAAGTGCTAAATATAGAGCAAATGCAAAGGGGACTTGCATACTTGCCTAGCAAATGAAAGTCATTAATGACAACTGATTAACAATTTACAGCCAAAAGATCTAATACTCTGTCCTTTTTTCATCTGTTGTAAGAAAGTTTTTTGCATATTTGTTTGACTTTAATGAATCAGTTCTGCCCATTCCATTGTTCAGCAGTGTTGACTGTGCACCTGAACCTGTACTAGCACTGATCATAGTTAATTTTTTCAGTTGAAAGTTCAGAATTTTGCCTAAATGAGTCATCTACAACAAAGATGATGGATTGGTATAGAGGTAGGAAAAAGGATTACATGCAACTAAGAAAGTTATTGTTATGCAGTTTTAAACGAAGAAAAAAAACCAAACAGCTGAGGAGCTGAAAATTGGTGGCACCAATACTAATGTGAAAATTTAGCAAGCTTATCTTGAAATTTTTAAAATAAATACAGTTCTAATAACTGCTTTATGAAAGTACTGTGTACCTTTGTTTAATGATGGCTGTGTTTGTGTCTCCAAGTAAATCACATTTTGAGTCACTTACTGAATTGGAAGATAACTTTAGTCTTTTGCAGATGATCCTATGTTAGACTTGTATCATTGCAAAACTAAGTGGGCATTTTGTGCAAGGTTTGTAGTACTTTTCTAAATATAATTTGCCAAATTGTATTGTAACTAGTGGATGAAAGTGTGATTAAGGACATAGTTTGAGCAATCTTTTTTTCCTACAGACTACAAAAATGTGCAGGAATAGTTATATTCTGATGTTTCGACATTGAATACATTTAGATTATTAAAAGTCAAACAGAAAACTTAGAAAATATATTGAAACCAAGTTAGAATGCATTGCAGATTTTAACTGCTGCTTGGAGGGGCTTTACCTGAAGCAGGGTTGAGGCAGAAGTGCTGAAAATGTTTTGGAGGGGCTTTACCTGAATTGAAAATAGTTATCCAAATTTCAAAAGTTACATAGATATTAAAAAAAAAAAAGACTAAAACGTTTACTTTGGATATTGAAAGGTTTTGTCTAAGCCTTATATGTAATTGGCACTGAGATGCAGGAATTATTTGTAACAAGGGTATCTTTATCCTGTCTTGTATAAGATCTGTACCTTTATTTTCATGAAAGCTAGCTTGAAATTTTTTCCTAAAACATTTTTTAATAGCCTATCTAGAGTGAAGATGGATGAAATAGCAATTTGAATTCAATTGTCCTGTTTTCACCAACTGTCTTCCATTCATTTATAGGCAAACTTCTGATAACTGCTTTTTTTCCCCTTAGGAAAAACTCATATGGCTACCGAAAGAAAAGGGAGGACAAGTTTACAGTGAGTGTTCATGATCATATTCATCTATAATAAAAGTAGGGTAACAAGGCGATAGTATGGATTATGTGGAGTAGCAGGTGAGATAAGTTATTGCACAAGCAATTGTATATAACAGTTGACTGAAGACAGCAGCTCATTAGTCACATGAGTTTACTGCATTGCAGAAGATTGTCCATTAATGCAGAAGTTAGTAAAAACTTAAAATTACTCTTTTATAGTAGCAAAAAAACTTCCATCTTAGTGTTGCTTTGTCAGCATGCCAGTGTGCACCTTCAGGGAGGGCTAAATAGCTAAGCTAAAATTCAAAACACTTGATACTTGATTATCATTCATGTAGACATTGAAGAACATTTTATAGATCCATGTGTCATAATTTATAGCTAGTGTGTTATTAAGTGGTCAGTTCTGTTTCTTAAATGCCTTTTCAAGTGCCACTTGGTAAGGGTGTCCTGACACTATTGAAATATTATAGTTTTGGTAAACTTAAATTCAAGGTGAGTACCGAAATAGCCTTGATACTTAAAGGCTGGACTAGACATTGTGTAGAAGAAAAAAAAGTAATTTTTTGGTAGAACTGAAGGTTTGATTTGATAAAACCAGACACTTCTCTGCAATTCATTATTGCCACGCATGGCATGTTCATGAAGTTGAACCAGATTATTTCCTTATTCATGTTACAATTCCAAAGTAACCCCACTGCATGAGCCATAACACTTTCTTAAAGGTCTGAAACCCTTGCATTTGTGTATTTGTGGCTCCTGCTGTTGAGTAGCCTTAGGGCACTTGGATAAAGGAGCATCAGGATTTGGAAAGCATAAACCAACAAGTGGTTCCTTTCCCTTACTTGCTTTTGGTTCTTGTCAAACTTCTCAAAGCTCAGTGAGATCAGATTACATGTAGGATTCTCAATAGTTCTTTCTTTTCCCCTTTCAAAACTGCTTGAGTTTGTAGATTGATAGGGAAAAAAAAAAATCAACATTTTTTTTGTGTCTCTGAAAGAACAAGAAAGTGGTACAGGTTAGGCACGTAAGTGAGTGGCTGGAGTGAAAAGATTACCTTGGAGACTTAGTGAGCAGAGAGGCTCTTCTGACTCAGCTGACTTTAAAGGTTATTTTCACTTTGAATGTAAAACTGGTAGACGTGACTTCTTTAGAGACCCACGGTTCCCTTCTCTCAGCACCAGGCTTTAATTGCAGCCTGTGCAGCCAGGTTCCTTCTCGCCTTTTCTGGCCCATGAATCTTTCATCTGTACTGTCCAGTGATGTGACTTGAACAGAGATGAGAGCTGCTGCACACCCAGAACTGTATATACTGGGAAGGAGTGTACTCTGAAGTGGAAGATTAAAATTTGATCTCTTTAGACTGTGGAAATAATTGAATCCAGGATCCTATTTCTTGTGTGATGCTGTAGCGATTAGATAGTGTACATAGGACATCACTACAACCAATTCTATTTGAATGGAGTGGTGACTTTTTTGATTTTTATTTTTTTAAGGGAAAAATTATAGAAAATATGCATGCTTATGTGAGAGCATGAACCTTCTTGATCAAATTGTATTTGAGGCGGTAGACATAAACCAATTACTCAACTTGTCATAACAAGTTGACTTGAGAAATTTTGTCCAGTTGGCAGCTTAAAATCCATTTAAGTCCTCCCTGGTCTCACTAATTTAAGGTGTTAATGCTACTTGTCTTTTTAATATGTTGGGGTTTTTAGGACTTAATAACTTAAAATGTTTGTAACAAATATAAAAGCATTACCTATTGCAGCACTTCAGTCCCCTTTAAGAAAATTAAGTGCTGTGATTTGAAGAACTGAAAAAAACCACAGTTGTTCCTCTTGCAGATTGAGCTGGATAAGTGTAGTCTCTCTCTGTGACCCTTTGACAGGTCATCTGACTTCTATTTTTGGAGGTTTGCAGCCTCCATTGCTGTAGCACTCTTAAACTGCATTCTGGGGGTAATGCAGGGTCAGTAGCAGTCCTAGAAGTTGCAGTTGTTCTTGCCTCTGTAGTTATTTTTCCCCTTCTTCCCTCTCGACATACTCTTACTTTGACGTAAACTGTAGTTTGTGGAAAGACCTCGAGGGTAGTTTTGTATCTATCGCCTTCTGTGAGAAGGAAGGGGAAAAAAACAGTAAATAGTGCAACACCTTTCTGTCCAGAAGCATTGTTCTCACACTCAGACAGTCTTGGCTATATACCCATAAATATTTTTCTTTTCAGAATAGGAATAGTCTCAAAGACTGCTTTGCATTTGGTATTCTGCAGCAGAAATTGTCTTAGCACAGGTCTGAGCACAGTCATGAAACAGTTACTACTTTGTTTACATGGTGTAAATGAAGTTAATTGCTAACTTCAGTTACAGCATATTACAAAAGGAATTTTGTTTTCAGTGTAAATAGAATTTAGCTTTGCAAATCCTTACAAGTGGTCCTTGCAAGTGGTCCTCACAAGTGATTTTAAACTGTGAAACTCTTAACTCCTGAACTGCTGTCTGTAGTGCAAAATAGTTGCATTTAGTCCATTGATGTTTTTTTGCCTGAATTGTTGTTGCTCGTAGATTTAGTTAGAAAAAATCTCCCTGTTTTGACATTTATCTTTGCATTTTTACAAAGTGACCATAAATTCGTATTTATTAGATGGAAATTTTCATTGTCGACATTACGTGCAAGGCATGTTGTGTTGCCCTTTCTTAATATATCTGAACATGATACAAGATTCTTGTTGACTCCTGTCTTTCATTTAGAATGTTACCACCTGCACGTAAATGGACTTTGTTTTCACTATATTGTGATACCTAAACCAGTTTGTTTTCCTTTCTATGTCAGTGCAAGTGCCCAACCTGAAGGAAGGGTCAGCGAGAAGACTTTTACGCTAAAGCTTATGCATATGAAATTTTTAAGGATGCTTATGTCGTCCAATTTAAATAACAGTTAAATATTTTAAAGGCAACAGTGGAAAATGAAAGCATCTATTCCTTGGTGCTGTGTGGTTTTCTTGGGAGGCGGGATGGGGGAGACCTCTCTAGGGCTTCACAGATAAAATTAAATGCAAAATACAGTTTAAAGTCCCACATCTGTCTTTTCTGTCATTCAGTGCAGTAATGTCAACATGTTGTTTCTATTCCAGAGAGGCCAAACACAGTCTCCACCACCCCCAAAACCTCCATCTCCTAGCTTTGAACTGGGTTTGTCTAGCTTTCCTCCATTACCCGGGGCTGCTGGCAATTTAAAGACTGAAGACCTTTTTGAAAACAGACTGTCCAGTGTGGTAATAGGAACGTCAAAAGAAAGAGTGAGTAGCCAGTGTTCACTTTTGTTGGGAAAATAAAGAATTGCATACCTCTTGTTTCAGATTTAGTGGCTTATACATAGAAAAAAACTTGTGGTTTTACATGGGTCATAAGAAATGCTTTTAAAAAACAGCTGTCAAATGATGTGCCACTGCCACCTTCACTTATATCTTAGAATTTGTTGGGTATTCTTTTGAAATGATGTGGAATATGAGCATCAATATAAGTAGACATTAATAGCAGAGATTAGAAAATATACTCTTTGCTGTTCATAATTGCCTCAGGCTTTTTGATAGATTCAGGTGAAAAATATGTGATAACTTCTCTTCCTCTTTGGAAGTCAGACTTCTGAGTTGTATATAAAACACTTTAAAGTGACAGAGACAAAGTTTTAAGCACTGAAATATAAAGAAGCTGCCTGCATAATCTCAGTATGCTAGGCATCAGAGCTGGGACAAGAACTGTTACCAAAACCAGCTGGATTCCAGCATTGTCTTGTCATACATACTGCTTGGAAAGATAAAAATATACCAGAATGACTTGGCAACCACTGTTTCTAGATGTAGTAGAGACGCAGTTGAAAATTCATGTTCAGTAGCTGTTCATAGATTTCATTCTTAGAACTCTCTCTACCATGCCATCTGTGAGTGACAGTATGTTCTCCACCAAGATTCATAACCCTGTGCACTATGGAACAGTCTAGGCTATGGAAGTCTATCTTGGCCTTTTTTTGCTAGCTCTAATTTAACTTGGGTTTTTCTAGCTGTACCACAACTGAAGAAGTCAACCCCTGGATATAGCAGTGCAAAGCAACCTGATGAAACACCAAAATCTCACTCTTGTGTCTTGTCTCTAAACCCAGTCTATTGCAGAAGCATTTTCTTTGCCCACGTATCAGGGGTGGGTAGGGAGGGTATTTGCTGGTAAGGGAAAGTGGAAGCGGCAAGGCAGCCTGCACCTGAAGCAGTGATTGCGCAGACAGGCCATCTATTCTCTCTCCTGCAACTGGTAATACGGACAACTACATTCCAGGGTTGCTTTAAGGGGGAATGTGCAGGACAGTGCCATGATAACAGCAACGTTTAACTTACTGTCAGCTAGCACTCCAGATTGTAGTCTGTTCTTGGCCAAGATCTATCTATTTTTAAAGTATTTTACCTCTATTATTTCTGAAGTGGTTTTTGACTACTGTATTTCAGGTTTTAAATATAATTCTAGCACTTGCTGTTGATACTGCAGCTGAAAACCTGTTGCTCCTCCCTTACAAATCTGGGACTTGCTTTGCACTGTACTTATTGTAAAGAACTTATGCTTCTCCCTTGTAGAGACAGTCTTAATATCAGTCGGGCACTGAGGTTTTAACGGTAGTGCAATGCACTATCACACTGAAAAGCTTCCTTTGATTTCTCAGTTTCTTTTTCCAGCTTATATGAGTTAGTCTGTACCATTGTGTGGAAGAAAGGGATTGTGCTGTCTTTCTTTGTTGGTGTTAATAAGGAATAAAATCACAGCAACTGGCTTGAAAGAGGAATTGTGTTCTGCTGCAAAGGTTTTTGAGTTAACATTAGAATCTTGTCAGTGTATACCGGCCAGTTTTCACCTTGGTCTCGAAATTTTTCATGTCACCTGATGTAGAGTTATGAAGTGCTGAAATAGTTACACAGTGCTACTCTTGCTTTATAGATGGGCAAGTCCAATGTACAGAAGCTGAATGAACTTCAGTTATGTAATTTCCAACAGTTGTTATCCAAGCATCATATCTTTATAGTCTTTGCTCTGTGGTGCTCTTCTAGATGTAGCTATGGGGAATGGCAGGTGTTAATCACCCCACATTTTCTGACTAGGAAATTGCAGTGCTGTCAGATCAGGGGCTGAGTGTTTTGTCCTAGAAGCAGCATTTGCATGTCTGCTTGACTTGAAGCTATTCACACGTAACCATGTATCTACAAGTTTTGATGAACTTGGGCCAGAATGCTCAGCAACTTGCAGTTTCAAGTCTTTGCACTCGCTGTTATAGGGAGTAAAACTATAGAAGCTGTTCTTTTATTTCTAAATATCGACCTTTTATTGTTTTGCTTTAAGCTTAGATCTACTGTGATAATCTATGCTGACTGATGTAAAACAGTGTCATCAAATAGCATTTTCCTTTCTAACAGTAACCACAGGTGTCTCATGGTTTGAATGGTGGCTGGGCTGGGGGAAAGAGGTGGCTATCTTCTTTTTTCTGTGCTTGTGTTCTCCCATTGCTCTCCCTTCTGCTTACCAGAATCTGTTCTGGTTCTAGAGTCAGACAGGTCAGAAGCAATACAAAGAACATAGCACTTCTTAAAACCAACAAAATGGTTATAAATGTCAGAAATATGTTTTTCAAGATACAAAGTAGTCTTTTCTTGTTTTGTGACAATTTAAATTAATGCATGCATTTTGAACCTATTTGGCCTTTATCTGGAAGCACAGTATCACTTGGCACTAACAATGGGAAAAGTCTCTTGCTTGGTAGCAAATCACGCTATAGCATAAGAAAGGGACTTTTAAATGATGGTCATACTCTAGTTTGCAAAAACTTTTTTTTTTTAAGATGCATTGGGATGATGCAGAGTTAGAGCTTTTGAAGAAGATAGTTCTTAGTGAATAACTTTTAGGAGACTTTTGTCTTAATAGGCTAACTATGGTTATGTGAACAGGTGCAAAGCCTACTTTGTCACCAGCAGGTGCAAAATTCCCAGGTTGAAAGAAGTGATTTTGTCATCCAGATATGTCCCAAAGGGAACTAAACTTCCAGCTTTTTGGGAAAGAGCTACAGTGTGTGATTTATTTGTTTGTGTTTCTAAATAATTGTGAAGGAAAAAAATTTATTTGTTACAATACATATATTGGATCCTCCTGTATCTTCCTATAGTTAGTTTACCCTTAAAAATCAACTTGTAAACTGTTTCCTGATTGTGTTAATTTTCAGGCAAACCGTATTAATTGGATATTATGATTGCCCTTCTGTGCCTTTTTTCCTCCTTCAGAACATTAATGTGGATGCAAGTACAAACACTATTCCATCTGGAATTCCTCGAGAACCGTTGTTGCCAGTTTCTTCTGCGTTGCCCAGGACGTTTGAAAGGTCTCCTTCGCCATCCCCGTCTTCTGAGTAAGCACTTAATTACATGGCTATAATTATTCTGCTCTGAATCACGTTTACATTTTCTCTCATCAGAAGGCTAGGTGGAACACTGTAAATAGCTATGAAAATCTTAATTAAAAATATTTTGTTGTATATTGAACTGGTAGTAAAGGCAGTAGAGCTTAATTTCTGAACAATATCATAATAGTGATTCAGTCATAAGCCATTCAGCAGACAAAAGTTTAGTGTTGTGTTTTAGTCTCTGCTAGTATTTAAAAGTTTGAATACTTTACTGTCTTGTATTTAGATAGCTTTGAAACAGAGAGAGTAAACCCACGATCCTGTGGGCAGTACTGTTGTCTATACAATAACATAAGTTTTCAGTAAGACTTTATTTGGAACCTGCAAATCAAATTGAGGTGTTTGAGTAACAGGAGCAAGATAACTGAATAACCAAATGCCATCAGAATGTCACAGATTACAGGTAGTGTCATGTTCCACAGGAATATCTTTTTTAATATTTGATAGCATTTTTAAATGCAATGCTAGTCATAATGTGCTAGGCAAATTATAGCTATAACTTTTTGTAGTCATACTCAAAGTTTTAGACCCATTATTAGATCATTCATCTATCCTGGAGTTTCACTTCTCATGAGCCTTGCTTCCTGCTGGATGCTTACAGGGACTCCAAGGTTGTGGATAAACAGCAGAGAGAGACACAGAGTACAGAAAGGCTTTCTTCTTCCACACTCAGTACTGCATGTAAATCGGTACAAGTCAATGGGGCTGCCATAGTAAGTGACCTTATTACTTCACTTCTCTGAACAATCCAGTTTGATGCATTTAATAGAATATTGCTTCTATTGCTACCCAGTGTTGCTTAATCACCTGAGCCCAGCATCCTTAAATTTGTGTGTTGGTGGCCTCGTGATTATTTGCATGATACAATTATGCAATTAACAGTGCAAAAGTGTTCAAGATAACTTGGCAAATGATACCTCTTTATCTGAATTCTCCTCTTAGTAGTATCCTTGAGGTAGAAGTATTAATACATAAGTTGATATTTAAACTAGAGTGTTCATCGTCTTTCAGCTGTTTTAGAGTTTGCTTGAATTGGAAGCATTTTCCCCTATCACAGTACTGCATTTTTCTGGCATACTGTTCTGCAGCTTACCTTGTCTTGAACCTTATTTTTTGTACAGCTTCTGTAAACTTGATACTCGGGCACTCATCTGCATATTTTAGTGTAGCAGTCTTTTGGGACAAAGACTTTACCTTTTTGTTCATAAAAGTAAATTATTTTTTTTTTCAGGATGCTGGTTTAACCCTGCTGTCCTGTTTGCTTTTGATTTCGCAGGAACTGCGAAAACCTAGTTATGCAGAAATTTGCCAGAGAACAACTAAGGATCCTCCTACGTTGCAACCCCAGAAAGAACAGAAGCCAAACACTGTAGCATGTGGCAAAGAAGAAAGAAAGCCCACAGAAACAATAGAGAAAAACAGAGAACCTCCTCCTGCAAAGTCACATCCTGGACAACCCAAAGACCAGAGGAGACAGTCAGGACGCAGATCGTCCCCTCCAGCCGTTGGCAAGCGCTTAAATAAAGAACAGAATACCCCTCCAAAATCTCCTCAGTGAAACTAACACCTGGGAGGGATTTGAAAAGAGGTCTGCTTCCCACAAATTAAACCCATGTTCCCACTAAGATACCTGAGAATGAGTTGCTGGTTAGGAGCTTGCAGTGATACTAGGCATGTAACAATGCCTGCAAGTTATTTTTCTGTGAAATACTTTTTCCCCCCCTCTTGAACAAACATTCTATTTTTCTGGATATTTCTGGATAGTTGTTCTAAACCTTACATTTAGGTTGGTGCTTAATTGGAGGTGAAGCTTAGTGTGATTATTTTTTTTCAAGATGTAAAATATCTGTCTTTAAAAAAAATAAAATCAACTTTTTATTAAGCCTCTCTGTGGCTGTGTGAGTGCAAGCTCTGTATAGTGAGTTTTTTCTAAACTGTTAAGCAGAAATGTGCTGCTGCAATATTTTTAATAAACTGGTCTGCAAGTACATATCTAAAGTGTCCAAAAGACTGATAACGGCAGCTAGTGTGTAGAGTGCAAGGAAGTAGATATATTTTACAAATTAGTATGTGACCTTGAAGATTTTTTTTTTATTGGGCTGCTGTACTGTCAGCAAACGAACTTGCACTTTTAGGTTAAATGAGTGGTCGTTTCTAGCGTTTTTAAAAATGTAGTCTTTTTTTGATGTTTTGCACACACAAAATGAATCCTGCGGAGCACCATAGCAGTCTTTCTAAAATACTTCCTTTTTTGACTTACTGCAAGCAAGTAACCATCTTCTCACTCCAGAATAAAACTGATGTTATAATTTGCAAATACAAAGCACATTGTGAATAGAAAGAATTAAGTCTGTGAGCTTCTCTGGTGGTGAAGCCTGTTAGTGGATGTTATCAGGAGAAAGCACTGTAGCCTTCTTGTGATAACCTTAGCTTCCCTGTGCTTGTAAGGGAGTTAACTGAGTCAGCGCTGTATGTTCTGGTTACCCCTGTGCTCTGTGTAGACTTTTTTTTTTTAAAAAACTCTGCCCCAAGTGCTCTTTGAAAGAGTTCATATCTTAGTCAGCCTTGTGTTGACATCTTCCTGTAACTACAAGCATTGGCATACGGATTTAAATTTTTCAAGACGTGAGATAATGGTGTTTGTTTTGTGTGGTGGAGGAAGAGATCCCTGATATTTACCTCTGGGATGAGGTTTCTCACACTTACTTACTTTAGGACTGATGCGCTTTCTGAAGGACAAGGATGCACTAAATTAGCAAGTTTCTAATAAAGTTGAATATAAATTATTTTTGTTTTAAAATGCCTAAAGTTTTTCTTTAAGTGTTTAAACTGCAGGAAGTTCAGATAAAACTCA